GGAAGGAAGGAGGAAGGAAGGGTAGAAAGGAAGGACAGGAGGGAGAGAGGAAGGGAGGAAGAGGGAAGGAAAGGAAGGGAAGAAAAAAAGATAACATTGCTTGCATTTATTTATTTAGCTAGAGAAGGGGCTGGAAGTTCGCAAAGCAGGCTCCCGGTAGTTATGGCTTTGGGGGCAATGGGGAAGAGGAAGAGGCATCATATACTCTGTATACTTGTGTATTGCTAACTTGTCTTAAACGAAACTGCATTCGTGAGGTGCTGCTGCTTCAGCTAAAAAAAATGTAAAAAGAAATAAGAAGACTGTGCTTATAGCTTCATGATAAGAAGAAATCCTTGACATCGAAGGACAGGAATGGCTCTGCCCCCAGGAACACGCCACGGCACAGTTTCGCAGTTAGCTGTTGAACTTTCCTGTGATGGAGGAAAGGTGAACATGCTTCTCGCTTTATTAGTAGTATTTATTATTATGATGATGATTTTTTTTTTGAATAATGTAAGCACACCGTGCGGAGAAGAGCATAAGGTGTCAAAGAAATCATCCACGGTAACCGCTGTGACCTCTGCAACCACTATAATCTGGGTCCCCGTTCTCAGAGCTGAGTTAGATGAGATTCCTGATGGTTTTTGCTGAGCGAGGTACCTGTGGGCATATACACTGGAACGAGTTTGGGGGGGGACCACTCTGGCAATATATATCAAAAGCCTTCAAAATACGCCTAGGCTTTGACACAAATTCTATTTAGCAGGGGCCTAGCCTAAGGAAGCCACGTGCAGACCAAAATGTCTTCAGCCTGATGACGTTCACTGAAGTGTTGTTTATCGTCGTGAAACCATCCAAATGAGGAAGTGGTTGGTGGGCTAGAAGCTATAGACAGATGTGGGTGAGAGTTTTGGCTCTCCTTATCTAACATAGATAGATCTAGAGATGAAAATGTGAATCAAAAGTACACACACACGGGGACACCCGGGTGGCTCGGTTGGTTAAGCTGCCGACTCTTGATTTCGGCTCAGGTCATGGCCTCACGCTTTGTGGGCTCGAGCCCCGCATCGGGCTCTGCGCTGGCAGCGTGGAACCTGCTTGCGATTTTCTCTCTTTCCCTCTCTCTCTGCCCCTCCCTGCCTCTCTCTCTCTCTCTCTCAAAATAAATAAATAAACTTTTTAAAACTTAAAATACGTACACACATACAGAGGATTATAATTACCCCATTTATTTGAGATGCTTACTGAGATAATTCATGTAAAACATCTAGAAGAATATTTGGCATATAGTAGGTCCTCAATAAAAGGTAGCTGTTATTAAGAAAAGTATGGTTCAGGGGCGCCTGGGTGGCTCAGTCGGTTAAGCGACATTGGCTCAAGTCATGATCTCACGGTTGGTGGGTTCGAGCCCCACGTAGGGCTCTGTGCTGACAGCTCAGAGCCTGGAGCCTGCTTCGGATTCTGTGTCTTTCTCTCTCTCTCTGCCCTTCCCCCATTCACACTCTGTCTCTCTACATCTCTCAAAAATGAATAAACGTTAAAAAAATGTAAAAAAAAAAAGAAACGTATGGTTCATGCATGTGATGGAATATATGTGTGTAAGAGGGTTTTAAGTGGTATGGTAATGCTATTTATAAATCAATGAAAAGTAAGGTTTAAAATTCTTTTTTAATTTTTTTATTAAAATTTTTTTTAACATTTATTTATTTTTGAGAGACAGAGTGAGACAGAGCACCAGCAGGGACGGGCAGAGAGAGAGGGGGACACAGAATCCGAAGCAGGCTCCAGGCTCTGGCTGTCAGCACAGATCCCTACGTGGGTCTCAAACTCACTGACCAGGCGATCATGACCTGAGCTGAAGTCGGATGCTTAACTGACTGAGCCAGCCAGGTGCCCTAGGTTCAAAATTCTTGAGTATGATCTTAGCTAGAGAGAGAGATTGAGAAAGAGGGATAAAGACAGAAGATCAAGACAGAGAGAATATACTAGAATACTTATACTGTGAAATGAACTAGATGACATTGCCTTTTCTTCATACTTTTTTCTAAATAGAGTGTATATACCTGAACTACTAAAGCCCTAACCTTTCCTCTGAGGCTCCTAAGAATTCTTCCTTCTCTGGACAGAGGTGTCCTTTTCTCATTATTCTGAGAAAGACTTCTACTGGCGTTAGAACTGTTCCTAAATCTCAGTGGTATTGCTAAGACCAACTTTCAAAATGTTAGATGTTATGCAGGGAAGGACGTCATTCGTAGAAGCAGAGGTTCCATAGAAGCAGAGGTTAGTCAGAGATTCCTGTATAAGTGATTTATTTAGGGAATGCTCTCGGAAGCCCGTAAAACCGTGAAAGAGGCAATAATGTTGAAAGGAAGAAGTTAAGCAAAAGTATGGTTTCTGGTGACGTCGAGACTCGAGCTGATCCCACAGGGAACTCAGGAGTGTTCTTTGTTCCACAAGGTCTGTCCTACCTTGAGGCAATGGAATGGGACTTTTGTAAGCACATACCAGTCTGTCCTGGGGAGAAGGGTTGTAACTCCTAGACACTTCTCTGGTGAGGCAGCCACAGTTGCTCAAGAGCAATCCCAGAAGAGGGTTGCAGCATTAGCAGCAGCAGCTGGGAGTTGGACATGAACTAGTAAAGGGGCATCCCAGGAGACCTGGATGGGTCACCAGCATCCGTCTGCCCCAAAAGGGTTAATGGAAATGAGCCTCTCTCTCCACGGCCTCCTTTATGAGGAACCAGGAGAGTAGCTCCGATGCTTGACTTAGGTGGGAGATGTGGGGAAAGAGAAAGCCTGCTCTTCCTAACAAGTTGGAAGGCAGCATGGGGAAGTCGTTTAGAAGTTTCCTTCTCTTCCCAACGTGGCCGGCGGCTGAGGAAGTGGAAGGCAGGGGAAGGGGCACGAATGTAGTAGATGGAGGGGTCGATGCAGTTAGGACGTTCGTTACATTCAGCAAACCAATAAGTTGATTGAGCAAATAAGAAATATATTGAGGAGAATGAGGCCCCCGTGTCTCAATGTCGGAGAAGGGAATTATAAACATGGAAACCGGGAGGGTTAGAAAGAACCCTAACCTTCTGGTTGGACTGGAATCGAAAGTATCAGTAAGAACTCGTTGTTTTTTTTTAAAATATATATACACAGATAGATATAGAAACATGTGGGTGTATGGAGTGCATGTGGGCAGAGAGAAATGGAGAGACCAAGATAGATGATAGAGAGAGAGAGAGAGATCTCTTAGCTGCATCCACTGAGAAGGCCTAGAAGCAACGACAGCCCAGCAGCAATGAGCACACTGACATCAGTATTTGGTTTCTAAACACCGTCTTCTACCGAAAGGAACCAGAACCCCTTAGAAAAATGGCTGACGCCACAGCTGGGACCAGGAAAACACACCATGAACTTGGACATCTTGTTGTGCCAGAAAGTAAAGAAGAGTTCAAGGAATGATGGAGGCATATAAAAGAGACATAGGGAGGGGCACCTGGGTGGCGCAGTCGGTTAAGCGTCCGACTTCAGCCAGGTCACGATCTCGCGGTCTGTGAGTTCGAGCCCCGCGTCAGGCTCTGGGCTGATGGCTCAGAGCCTGGAGCCTGTTTCCGATTCTGTGTCTGCCTCTCTCTCTGCCCCTCCCCCGTTCATGCTCTGTCTCTCTCTGTCCCAAAAATAAATAAATGTTGAAAAAAAAAAATTAAAAAAAAAAAAAAAAGAAACATAGGGATTGGTTTAAACGGTCTTCCAATGAGAGGCACCTGGGTGTCTCAATTGGTTAAGCGTCCAGCTTTGGCTCAAGTCATGATCTCATGGTTTGTGGGTTCGAGCCCCACACTGGGCTCTGTGCTGCTGGCTGAGAGCCTGGAGCCTGCTTTGGATTCTGTGTCTCCCTCTCTCTCTCTGCCCCTCCGTCGCTTGTGCTCTGCCTCTCTCGCGGTCTCAAAAATAAACATTTTTTTAAAAATTAAAAAAAAAAGCCTTCCAACGGTCAGATCTGGGACAGTCTGAGCATCAGAAGAATAATGGTAGTAGTGGGTTACAACCCACTGAATAAAATAGGAATCTGCAAGTTCATACTGATTCGTTGAATGAATAGGTAGGTAGGTAGGTAGGTAGGTAGGTAGGTAGGTAGGTAGGTAGATAGATAGATAGATAGATAGATAGATAGATAGATAGATACAGGGGAAAAGGGAAATTCCTCCTTACAGTAGAATATCCATTCTAAATGTAGAAGGAACAATGGAAATTTAAAAAATACCACCTGTTACCATCATAGTAGTGTTGATTCAGGCAGGTATCGTCCATGGATGGGATACCGAAGCTGATGGGTAGAGGTTCTAGGGAGAACAGGATATTGGCATAATCTCTGAATTTTTCCCCGCAAAGTAATCCCAGATGGAAAAAGGATAACTTTAGGGTGGAGAAATCTTTCAGACACCATCTTGAGCCAGTGATGAAGGTTAATGTCACCAGTGATGAGATGAGTTGACACCATATGGCCCTGATGTGAGGCACTGGAAGGAGCTTAGTATCATTTCTGCGGGGCTCTTGCCAAGAAAACATGGCCTGAGTCTGGTCACAGGGAGACAGCAGATGGACTGAAGAGGAGGAGCATCCTACAGAATGAAAGGCCTGGACTCTTGAAGACTATTCAGGACGTGAATAAGAGGGAGAAACCTGAATGATGTTCCAGATTGAAGTTGCCCGTTGTCGCACTACCCTATTTTCTCCTATATTTGCTGGGTTGTGGGCAGGGCTCCGTGTCGGCAGTTCTAAATTTGAGAATCATGTGGGGAGTGAGTTAATGCAGATGCCAGAACCCCACCCCTGAGACTCTGTTCCCAAGGGTTTGGGGTGGGGCCTAGGGATCTATGACCTTAGCCGTCATCCTAGGAAATTCCGAAGTAAGTGGTCCACAGACCACCCTCGGAGGAATATTGGCCTAGAAATTCAGAAAGCGGTGGCAGCCCTCTTACTCAGTCCCGACCTTAACTTTTTCTTCCTGTCTCTCTGCTTTCCCAGGGTGACGCTGTACGCGGAGTTCCTTCCCATGAAGGCCAGAGCTAAGTGTATCTTGCTGATTGAGGTAAGGAGGGTGGTCTGGGTTTCCCAAGAGCGCTCAGTCCCTCAGCAGGAGATTCTCAGGCGTCTTGAGCCACAGGATGAGGAAATGGGAGGTTAAGAGAGCTCTAACAGACTCAGTGTGTGGAGACTTAAACGGGTCAATTATGTCAATTCTGACATGGTCTTTTTGCAATACGGATAAACCCTTCAATTGACAAAAAAAAAAAACAAAACCCAATCAATCTCTTAGGAAAATGGTGGCAGGCAGGTGGTATTTCCTTCTTGGACTTCACGTGGCTTTTATCTGAGAGTTGGTGCCGAGAGTTGGTGCGTAAGGGGACCAAAACTCCTGTCCCCCATCCATATCATCACCCTCCACCCCTGTTTGTATCCAGGCTCACCTGTGTCTTGTGTGAGGGGCCACTTCTGTAGCCTAGAGGCTGCCTTAAAACTCCCTCGGTCCAGCTCGTCCCTCCGAGCCTTCTTTCTGCCAAGGTTTTGTGACCCGTTTTCCAATCATGGTTCTGGAAGATCTCAGGGCCAATATGTAGCTGCCCAGTGACCCCTCTAGCATGCAGGCAGTAGAGTTTATTTGTCCTTTCGGACACTGATGCCCACAGTGACAACTATGATGCCACTCCGACGTCTCTAGTCACCATGACCATGTTGACAGTAGTAATCACATTGACGTCACTGCCCAACTTACCACCCAGACTGCATCTACCCCTGATCGATAAGGATTGTAGTCATCTGGTCCATGCTGGTATGGATGAACCAACTATTTAAATATTGAGATGCGTTTATGCCAGCAGATCTTGGTCCCTGATTACCCCTCATCACCTGACACCCTGTCCACTCTTAGGACCCCCTAGAACTTCCCATGATCTAGCGTCTGAAGAGTTAACTCCTGGCACAGTCATGGTATATGTGTGTGTGTTGAGAGCAGGGGGTATATGACCAGTGTCAGGTGCCTATCCTGGGTTGGTCCAGTTTGTTAGACATTTTGACTATCACCCCCGGTTGGCAGCAACAGAAATAGACTGTGGTTGAGTTCAGCCAAAGAGGATTTAGGAAGGCTCTCGGAGTCCCCCAGAACTGATGGAGAAGCTGAAGGGCCATGTTTGGCAATGGACAATAGTTGTAGAGCCTGAGCAGGAGACCGCATACTCAACTTAGGATAGTTTGAAGAGGGTTTGATAAAGGAACTATTTCTAAATAGCCCCAGGCCTGAAGTGCCAGTTGCCAGGCAAAGGCAGGAAGTAATTAATTAGCAGCCCAGAGAGAAAGAGAGACAGAGTTGTGTGTCCAGGGCTGTTGGACAGGTGCTGTGACCTGCTGAGAGATGCAGCCAGCCCATGACCACCGTGCAGGGAGGGAGCCAGAGGAATAAATGCCCCCACATCTCTTTCCTTTCTCCCTCCCTCCCTCCCATGTCCTGTGGGGCTCCTCATTGGCTGTAGCCAGTGGAAAACCAGAAGACAGGGAGCCTGTGGATGCAGTCCATACAAAAAAAGCAAGGTGGGAAAGGATGGTGAGGCAAACAGAAGATAGTCAGCCCTGCAGGGAAGAGGCAGTTGTGATAAAGGATACTTGGGCGAGAGAGATGGATGTCAGTAGACAAAAACAATATGTCCGTTACCGTATTGACCTCACACGATATTGATGGCATCGATCTCCCTAAACCAGAGCTGCCACATCGTACCCACTCCAGTGGGTACCACGCAAATATGACAGAGTGTGGATGGGCCCCTCAGGAGATGAGCAACATGATGGCCCTGCCCCCAACTATATGAAAAACAGGAAAGACGGCCATTCCGACGTGGCTGACCACGAGGACCCTCGCCCGTGTCAGTCGCGTTGTCTGCAATGAGCTCATGTGTTGGCCACGCTGCTCCCATCTCGCTGATCCCGTTTTCCCCTGCCAGGTCTTCTGGGCCATCGGGACAGTGTTCGAGGTGATCCTGGCCGTGTTTGTGATGCCCAGCCTGGGCTGGCGCTGGCTGCTCATCCTCTCGGCCGTCCCGTTGCTCCTCTTTGCGGTTCTGTGTTTTGTAGGTATCCTTTAAGAGATGTCAACCTTTACGGGGCACCTGGGCGGCGGCTCAGTCGGTTAAGCATCCAACTTTAGGTCATTATCTCACGGTTTGTGGGTTCTAGCCCCGCGTGGCGTTCTGAGATGTTTGGGATTCTCTCTGTTTCTCCCACATCCTCCTTCGTCCCTAAGTGCTCTTCTTCTGTCTCTGTCTCAAATAATAAAAAAAAAAGATCTCAACCTTGGCCGCTTGGCTTTCTGCTGTCCAGCCGTTCACTGTGTTTCAGTGGGGAGGAGGTAAAGGAGGACACTGTCCTGCAGGGATTCTTTGTAAGATGATGTTTTTAGAACTCTGCCAGCCGCACCGATTAATAATAATAATAGCAACAGAAACAACAATCATTGCATGAACCCATTCCAGGTATCGTGCTAAGCACTTTGTCTGGATTCTCTCACTTAACCCTCTCGACAACCTTTACGAGGTGGGATCTATCGTTATCCCCATTTTGTGGATGAGGAAATGGAGGCACAGAGAGGTCAAGTAATTACTCAAGGTCCCACAACCAGGATAATCAATGACAGAGCCAGGATTTGAAGCTAGCCCTCTGGCTCCAGAGCCCTAAGCTTAAAGACTCCACACCCCGCTGAGATATGTGGCTGGGACCCCGTGTTCTGTTCCACCCTAATCTGCCACGCCTGTCCCCACAGTGGCTGCCGGAGAGCGCAAGGTATGATGTGCTGTCCGGGAATCAGGAGAAGGCCATCGCCACCTTAAAGAGGATAGCGACAGAAAACGGAGCCCCCATGCCGCTGGGGAAACTCATCATCTCCAGACAGGTCGGTGCCTGGCCCGCTGTCTGTGGCGTGTGTGTGTCCGTGCGCCTGGGCGGGAGTGTGTGCGTGGGTGGGGCATGCTCTCCAAGGAGGTGGCAAATTCTGAGACCAGCAAAAAGTGCACAAGCAGACTAATTCCCCAAAAGCCAATTTTCCTGAATTAACTTGCCAGTGTATCTTTTTTACCAAAAAATGTTTCAAGGAACTTTTTGAATATATGTAGCAAATAGGAGTATATTTTTCCTGTGTATATATTAACACATTTATTTCCTCAGTATATGCTCTCTATAAATATGTTAATGGATCTATTTCTAAATATATTAACCTATTCCAAAATATAGTCAATAAATACAAACATTCTCAAATACATTCAATAAACCTATTTAATGGGTGTTGTCTTTTCATTCAAGAATATACCAAAAAATATATTTTTATTCATGAGGGCTATTCACAGGTAGACTAAGCCACCTAAAACCCATAATCTTTTTTTTAAACATTTAGCACGGTTAAATAAGCAAGCGTTTCTCAAACTGCTAAGAAAAATGTTTTCGTTAAATATACCTAAGAAGAATATTATCACAGTCCTAGAATATACTCTTTTAAAAAAAATTTTTTAACATTTATTTATTGTTGAGAGACAGAGACAGAGCGTGAGCATGGGAGGGGCAGAGAGAGAGGAGGAGACACAGAATCCAACCAGGCTCCAGGCTCTGAGCTGTCAGCACAGAGCCCGACGAGGGGCTTGAACTCACGAACTGCGAGATCATGACCTGAGTCTAAGTCAGACGCCCAACCAACTGAGCCACCCAGGCACCCCCTAGAATATACTCTTAAAAAGAACATTGTAGGGGTGCCTGGGTGGCTCTTGGTTTCAGCTCAGGTCATGATCTCACAGTTTGTGGGTTCAAGCCCCGTGTTGGGCTCTGTGCTGACAGCACAGAGCCTGCTTGGGATTCTCTCTCTCCTTCTGTCCCTCCTTTATGCTCTCTCTCTCTCTATTGCTCATAAAAAATAAATAAACTTAAAAAAAAAAGAACGTTGTAGAGCAAAGATTTGATAAATTAGCAAATTATATGAAATTGGCAAATGGGTCATTTAATCAACCTTTGACACATTGGCTTCTGGTGAATTGATTTTCAGTACATTGATTTTTGTGATCTTAACCTAGAGCTGGCTTGGGAGGGCATTAAATGGTTGGATGCCCCTTGGGTTGACTGTCTGCTCCCTGGGTGCATGGCACTGCCCGAGAATCCCTGGGGGTACCAGGCCCAAGGAATCTGCTTCCTGCTACAGGGATTGCAGAATGTTTCCATCCTTGGGGAACCAAGCCTGTAGACCTTGCTGGGTCCTGGCTGGAGGACCTCACTGGGCCGGGAGACTTTGTGCCGTGGGATCGGGTCCTGGGTTCCCGGAATCTGAGCACGTAGCCCACCAGGAGCTTCCCTCCCTGCTGTGGGTGCCCACGGTCTTAGGCTGCTGGCTGGGGCCCATACTTCTCGAGGGGAGGAGAGCAAATTGCACGTTCTTGTCTTGAAACAGGAAGACCGAGGCAGAATGAGGGACCTTTTCACGCCCCATTTTAGGTGGACAACCTTGTTGCTGTGGTTTATATGGTAAGAGCTGTTTCTTGACACCTTGATCCCCTTCATTCATGCCCTGTTTTGCTTTCTGTTTTTTTTTTTTTTGTTTTTTTTTTTTTTTTTTCATTTATTGATTTTTGGGACAGTGCGAGAGACAGAGTGCAAGCAGTGAGGGGCAGACAGAGGGAGACACAGAATCTGAAGCCGGCTCCAGGCTCTGAGCTGTCAGCCCAGAGCCTGATGCGGGGCTCAAACTCACAAACCGTGAGATCATGACCTGAGCCAAAGTCGGACACTTAACCGACTGAGCCACCCAGGCGCCCCTTTGCTTTCTGTTTTTACGTGATGCACAGATAGCTCTTTGATCGTGGGCAGCAGTTCCAAAATAAAGTGGTTTGGATATGACTTTCCTGATTTCTGCCTTATTCAGGTATCACCCGTGCTATTCTTCGTTGTTTTCTTTAATTGGACTCCCTTTTTACTCAGATAAATGTCCTTTTTAACTACGTTTTTCATTTTAATTCCAACACAGTTAACATGCAATGTTATGTTAGTTTCGGGTGTAGAATACAGTGATTCAACAATTGTATGCATTACTCAGTGCTCATCATGATAAGTGCACTCTTAATCCCCATCACCTATCTCCCCCATCCCCCCAGCATCCTCCCCTCTGGTCAGTTCTCTATGCTTAAGAGTCTGTTTCTTGATTTGTTTCTCTGTCTCTTTCTTTTCCCTTTGCTCATTTGTGTTGTTTCTTAAATTCCACATATGGATGAAATCACGTGGTATTTGCCCTCTGACTGAGATACTACGCTTAGCATTATACTCTCTCGTTCCATCCATGTCATTGCAAATGGCAAGATTTCATTCCTTTTTATGGCTGAGTGATATTCCATTGTATATGTAGACCACATCTTCTTTATCCATTCATCTATCGATGGACACTTGGGCTTCTTCCATAATTTGGCTATTATAAATAATGCTGTAGGGACGCCCGGTGGCTCAGTCAGCTAAGCATCCGACTTCGGCTCAGGGCATGATCTCATGGTCCACGAGTTCAAGTCCTGCATTGGGCTCTGTGCTGCTGACAGCTCAGAGCCTGGAGCCTGCTTCAGATTCTGGGTATCCCCGCCCCCCCCACCCCTCCTCCGCTCACACTCTATCTTGCTCTGTCTCTCAAAAATAAATAAATGTGAAAAATAAAAATAAAAAAAACAATAAATAATGCTGTAATAAACATGGGGGGGGGCGTATATCCTTTCGAATTAGTGTTTTTGTATTCTTTGGGTAAATGCCCAATAGTGCCATAACTGGACCATAGGGTATTTCTATTTTTAATGTTTTGAGGAAACTCCATACTGTTTTCCAGAGTGGCTGCACCAGTTTGCATCCCCACCAACAGCGCACAAGCGTTTAGATAAATGTCTTTTAAAACGCAAAAAAAAAAAAAAAAAAAAAAAAAAAACTTAACAGCAGGCCATAGAGAGAAGGCCCTCCTCAAGAGAAATATAGTAAAAAGTAGCTAGATTGATGATTTGCCAAAGCTCTGAGTTACTGTACTTAATAGAGAGAGAGGCAGATGTTGAGGACTCATTAGCAAGTAAGTGAGACTAGGAAGCCATCAAAATACAGTTGACCTTCAACAGTGCAGAGTGGGGGTTAAAGGCACAGACCCCTGAGTAGTTGAAAATCTTTTGATCCCCCCGAACTTCACTAATAGCCTCCTATTAACCAGAAGCCTTACTGATAACATTAACCAGAAGCCTTACTGATGAACACCTATTTTGTCTGTTATATGTATTATATACTGTATTCTTAAAGTAAGCTAGAGAAAAAGTGTTATTAAAATCATCTTCAAGAGAAAATGTAATTGCAGTATTTATTGAAAAAAAAAAATCTCCTTATAAGTGGCCCCTGCAGTTCAAACCTGTGTTGTCCAAGGGTCAACTGTAATTGAAAGGAAAATGATAATGCCTGCTCCCTTACTCCTCTTTTCGGGCCATACGGCCTTCGGTACACCAGTGGCATGGGACCCATGTTTGGGGAACCACTGATTTGGTCAACACGTGCAGCCTTAGAACTCTCAGTCCTGATCCTGGTCTGTTTTCCTTAAAATGCGGCCATTCACGATGGCTGGCTGTGGGCAGGGTGGAAGGGAGGGATTTGTACAGAGTAATTACCTGAAAATCCACAACCAGTCAAATCTCAGCTATTCTTTGAACTCTCTACGAAATCATGTATGCAGCATGAATAGTGTGCAGAAGGGGCCTGGCTAACACTTTTCGCAGTTCTGGTGTAACCACTTATCCCTTTCCCTATGCACCTTTGAGGAGAGGTGCTAATTGGCAGGGGATCGTCCTGAAAAGTGGTCAGTTGCAGGCAAGTGGAGAGGAAGGCCTTGATAATAAACAGAACTGGGCTCCAATTCTGCCCATGCGTTCCTGAGAGCTGAACCAAGCATTTATTAAACACCTGCTGTATGCTCAATACAAGTGCTCAGTCTGCGGGATTTTTGAAAAGGGAGAGGAGGTGGTTGACCTAGTTAAGGGTGTCTGTCTTTGCATGCATGTGACTCATTTGAGCCGACGCTGCCCAAATACCGAAGCAATTAATTAGAGACTGTTTCTTGCCCCCAATAGAAATCACTAAATTTGCTAGCACATATTGTAACTCAAGGAAATTTATCACCATGGACTAATTATGACAGTTCCCACATAACTGTACTACAGGATGAGAATGTTCTGGCCCTACAGACTTGAGTGTCATGGTTCCTGGGACAATTGGGAATTAATTCACTGGGTCATTCTAATCTCAAATTTTAGGGAAGTCTGCCGACTCCACACTTGTATGGGGTACACAGCAGGTGTTTAATAAATGCTTGGTGAGTTGATTCAACTCTCAGGAGTTCAAGGGTAGAGCTGGAGCCCAGTTCTCTGTACTATCAAAGTTTTTCCGTCCTCTTCTCTCTCCACATTGACCAACTTGGCCCAGAAACCCTGACGGATGTCAGCCATGACTTTTTTCTTCCAAATCTTGGTTCCCCAAACTTTTATTCCCTATTGCCAATTGTGAAAAACAGCCTGGTGTTCTCTGTAATATAATACAGTTGTTGGTCTTTCAAAGGACACAGGATCACATACCTTTAACACACCGCTATGCTTTGTACCTGCCATTTTCCTGCTCAAGGGCCCCAGGAACTGCCACCCCCCCCCAAAGCCCCAGTGTCACCCACGTCCAAAGACTGGTCCTCGCTGCCATAGACGCAAGTCCTTCCTGATGGGTTGGGGAAAGGGGATCTTGCATTTCTCCCATCATTTCTTTACCTTTTTTTGCTTCCTTCCTGGCAGGTTTTCCAATGCGTTTTCTTACTATGGATTAGTTCTGCTCACCACTGAGCTCTTTCAGGCAGGAGATGTCTGCAGCAGTGAGTATCAAACTCCCTTTACCAGCTAACCACTCCTGCCCCCCCCATACACAGTCACACACACGTCCCCGCCCCTCGGTCAGCCCTTCCTGAGCCCGGCCACGCACAAACGCCAGTGACTTTGTCCCACAGACTCCAGGGAGAAAGTTTCTTCCACATCTGAGCACAAAAGACCTGGACTGCGGTCCCCGAGATGCTCTGTAGAAACCCGAACAATCTTGTCGCGATAGGAGGGACATTATAGCAGAGTCACCGCTTATGTCACGCAAAGGGCTCGATGAAGTACAACGCTGAGTTTGATGGCTGTGACCCTGTGCGGTAATTCTCACGTGCATGTGAAGTCGGAGAACCGGGTAGGATCTCAACCCTGGCCACACCACGGAATCACCTGGGGCCAGTGAAACGATGCCCGGGTCAATTTACTCAGCATCTCTGGACCCGGGCGTTAGTGGCTTTTAAAAGCTCCCCCGGCGATTCTCTTGTGCAGCCGGAGGTGGGAGCCACCGGACAAAAGGAACAGCCAGAAAGCAAAGACTATATGCACATGTCTGGGATTTCAAACAATTCTATCTTTAAAAATAGGTTCCTAGCATGGAGCCCAGGGTGGAGGATAAAGGGATCAGGTTCTCACTTGTCTGTAGGATTTACCTGGTTATCTTTTTCATAGTAAGCCTCTATAAGCTTAGTTAATAGTTTGGTTTATTGGTGTAAGTGAGGATTTAATGAGTTCGTGGCTCAGTCGCAGGTTTGGGATTTGGTTATTGACTACAGATCACATGCCCCCAACAGTGGACCCGCTTAAGCAAAACAGAGGAGGATCCAGGAGAATGTTACAAAGCAGGGGTTGGCAAACTTTTTCCAGAAAGGGCCAGCTAGTCAATATTTTAGGCTTTGTGGGCCATACAAAGAAGGAAAAAAAGCTGTGGACAATTGGTTAATGAACAAGCATTGCTCGTGTTCCAATAAAACCTTATTCGTGAATGTGAATTTGGGGCATCCAGATGGCTCAGCCGGTGGAGCATCTGACTCCTGATTTCGGCTCAGGTCGTGAGCCCAGGGTCATGGCATTGAGCCCTGCATCGGGCTCCTTGCTGAGCATGGAGCCTGCTTGGGATTCTCTCTCCTTCTGCCCCTTTCCTCCCACTCACGTGCTCTCGTTCTCTCTCTTTCTCTAAAATAAAAAAAAAAGTTTAATGAGTACGAATTTGGACTTCATATCATTTTTATGTCATGAAGTGTTATTCGTCTTTTGATTTTTAAAAATCATTTAAAAATGCAGGGGCACCTGCGTGGCTCAGTCGGTTAAGCGTCTAACTCTTGGTTTTTTTTTTTTTTTTTTTTAACGTTTTATTTATTTTTGAGACAGAGAGAGACAGAGCATGAACGGGGAAGGGGCAGAGAGAGGGAGACACAGAATCGGAAGCAGGCTCCAGGCTCCGAGCCATCAGCCCAGAGCCCGACGCGGGGCTCGAACTCACGGACCGCGAGATCGTGACCTGAGCTGAAGTCGGACGCTTAACCGACTGAGCCACCCAGGCACCCCTCCAACTCTTGGTTTCTACTCAAGTCGTGATCTTGTGGTTTTGTGAGTTCAGGCCCCGCATCCAGCTCTGCACTGGCTGCAAGGAGCCTGCTTGGGATTCTCTCTCCCTGCCCCACCCCCGCTCTTGCTGTCTCTGTCTCTTTCAAAATAAATAAATAAACTTAACAAAAAAAGTTTTTTTAATGTAAAAACCATTCTTAGCACGCAGGCCAGGCAGAAACAAACTGGAGACCAGATTTGGCTTCAGGTGATAGTTTGCCAACTCCTGTTAAAAGCTCTCTCTTGGGATGCCTGGGTGGCTCTGTCGGTTAAGCATCCAGCTTCGGGTCAGGTCATGAACTCATGGCTTGTGATCTCACGACTCATGAGTTCAAGTCCCACATCGGGCTCCGTGCTGACAGCTCGGAGCCTGGAGCCTACTTCAGATTCTGTGTCTCCCTCTCTCTCTGCCCCTCCCCCACTCGTGCTCTCTCTGTCTCTCAAAAATAAATAAACATTTAAAAAAAAAAAAAGCCCTTTCTTCTACCTGGGCAGAAGTGATACCATGGAACAAGCCCACGGCTGGAAATCCAGGAGCCTGGGTTCCAGCACTAAGTAGCTGTGTGATCTTGGACAAGTCGTTTATTCAATATTTTCTATAAGCCAGGTACTGATCTAGGTGTTAGGGTACATCAGTGACCACAAAAGACAAATATCCCTACCCTGTGAGCTCATGTTTTGGTGGGGAGAGAGAAAAAGAGAGAGAGAATAGCTTAATAAGTGAGGCAATGACATAGTGTGTTAGAAGATGATGGGTTAAAGAAAAAAATTTTAAGAAAAGGTAAAATCATGCCTCTCATACAAATCTATAATGACCGCATGTCAAAGATTTTAACTCATCAGTTAATGAATGAATTAGTTAAGAACTGTGAAAAGTCTGAGGATTTACCTATTTTCCAGCTAACAGGTTAGGCGTGCACAGCTTCCACAGATGCCCGCAAAAGACACAACACTCCTGGATCAGAGACAAAGGACTTTGCTACTCACAGTAATAGCAGTAGCTGGAGTATCAGCATTTCTTACACCAGTGAGGAGCTCCCATTCCCACAGGGTGATGTGAAGAGAGGAGGTCCCACCTCCAAGAGCAGTGGGTTATGTTACAAGAGAGGATCTCTGAGCTTAGGGCACCCAGCTCTCTTACACTGGATGGTAAGCCTGCCTGCTCTTGCCCTGTGGGGAGACACTAGACCATTGAAGGCCCTAAGCAAGGCCCTGTTCCTTACTCCAAAGGTAGACGCTCCCTGTCAAGGCTGTTGGTTAAACCAAGGTCCTTGAAAAGATAGTCCAGGACAAAGAAAGTCAGTGCCTCTGCTTATAAACCATACAGAGATGTGAGCATCCATGGAGAATTGTCTACTAACACCGGAGGTCTGCTAACACCACAAGAGGTTACAACTGGTTCGAAGGAGAGTTCAAAAGATACATGTATATAGGCAATCAGAAATGCAGAAATGGCTTTACAATTAGAGGCACAACTTGTCAGTATGCATAAGGCAGTAATCAATTGCATCATCAGACACAACTTGCATTTTGATGAACTAGAAGCCTTTGCATTAATACCAATATTCTATAATGTGCATAGCTCAAAGATAATGAAAAGCAGGACAACCTATCAGGGTACACTAGACAAAACATTTTGCCCGTTTCAAAATCTTTCACGCTGTTTGTTAACAAATGTATAGGAAAAGGAGACAGTCAAGCAGGGCCAGGGAGGTCAGGAGGGTGGGGCAGAGCAAGGGGCGGTGGGTATGTTGAAGTTTTAAATGGGGGTGCTCAGGGTGACCTCCATGAGATGAGATTTAAAAAGATATTGGGGCGCCTGGGTGGCGCAGTCGGTTAAGCGTCCGACTTCAGCCAGGTCACGATCTCGCGGTCCGTGAGTTCGAGCCCCGCGTCGGGCTCTGGGCTGATGGCTCGGAGCCTGGAGCCTGTTTCCGATTCTGTGTCTCCCTCTCTCTCTGCCCCTCCCCCGTTCATGCTCTGTCTCTCTCTGTCTCAAAAATAAATAAATGTTAAAAAAAAAAATTAAAAAATAAAAATAAAAATAAAAAGATATAAAGGACATGAGGAAATTAGTCATGGGGTCTATAAAGAGCATCCCGGAAGAGGCGACAGCCAGTGCAAAGGTCCTGACGCAGGAGTATTGAAGGAAGAGCAAGGGTACCAGTGTTGCTCGAGTACAGTGAGCAGAGCAAGGGAGAGAGAGAGAAGGTGAGATCAAGGAAGTCATGAGGGCCAGGTAATATTGGTGGGGATCATCGAGGCCACCCTGGAGTCCGTCTGCCACAAACGCACCTAGCGTGTGCCATTTCTGGGCTAAGCGCACTCCTATGCACAGCCTGCTTTCATTCTCCTACCCCCCCTTGCCCCGCGGTTTCATTAGCTCCCGTTTTGTGAAGAAACGGAGGCTCCGAGAGATAAAGCGCTGCTGGTTGGGATTCGAACCTGAGTCTGTCGGACTCCGGAGCCTGGGCTCTTTCCACGGTGTCCCAGCTGAATCGTACCCAGGGGAGGAAGTGTGGGAGCAGGAGGGCGTGGTTCTGAGAACGGCTCTTCTGTCTCCTGTCTCCCACCTTCCAGTCTCTAGCCAGAAGAAGGCAGTAGAAGCAAAATGCAGCCTGGCCTGCGAGTACCTGAGTGAGGAGGATTACATGGATCTGCTGTGGACCACGCTCTCTGAGTTTCCAGGTGAGGGAGCTGTGGGAGGTGGGGGCGGGGGCAGGGGAGCCCGTGAATGTGGCCGCTGTTGATCTGGTGGCTCCACCTGGTGCTGCTGCCTGGGAGAAAATCCCCTTTCTAGGGGAGCTGGAGATTAGTTTTTCAGCCCTTAGCTGCAAGTTGTCAAGAACGGTAAAGGCTACTTAACAAATGAAGCCGCCTGTGTCACGCTCCCTGGCAGAAGACGTGAGACTCCTGGGTCAGAGACAAAAGACTGTTACCCATGGCACAGCAAACAACATGAACAGCGTACTAGTGTCCGCTCCCCGTGCTCTCAAGTCCCACAGGGATGAGGAGGGAGGGTCCAAGTGGATGCCACACACGCAATGGAGTAATGGGTGTAGCTGCTGTGCTCTGACTCATGTCCTCTGATGAGAACCCGCTCACTGAAGTGTGCACAAAAGCTGGTAATGGATGATGGTTGCTACTTAAGGAGTTACCTGAGCATTCCCTACCATGTCGTGAGTGATCTACTAGTCCCTAGATTCTTGACTCTGTGTTCCACAGTTTTCCTTGGCTTCCCAATATCTTCCTCAGTCCCTTTTTCACTTTGCTTACCTAAGGAATCCCAAGCTTAGGGAACCCAGATCTTTCTTAATGGGCTGCCAGAAACTTGTCCAGCTTTTGATCTAGAGAGATGCGTCATCTTTATGGACAGTAAAACAGGCTTGCTCTTTGCTCTGGAAGGAGACGGTCTCTCTATCTTCGCAAGGCTGTTGGCTATCCGAACAGAACAAAGGGCAGCCAGTACACAAAAATATAAGAGATCCATGGAGAATTGTCCCCCATCAGCACTCACACTGGAAGGACTAGTGGGGAGTCAAAAAATCCAAACCTGCACATAAAGTGAAGGTAATTTATCTTTTTCCTGTAAAAAACTAGTACTTATTACAACAAGAGTGTCTGGTATTTATTGAATGCTTACTTTACGTATGTCAGGCTCTATGCTAAATGTTTTCTAGATACGTCTCATTTAGTCTTTTGTAAAATTTTAGTTATTGAAATTCAAGTTAGTTAACATACAGTGTAGTATTGGCTTCAAGAGAACCCTTTGATTCATCACTTACATATGACACCCAGTGCTCAGCCCAGCAAGTGCCCTCCTTAATGCCCTCACCCATTTAGCCCATCCTCCTACCTACCTCCCCTCCAGCAACCCTCAGTTTGTTCTCTGTATTTAAGAGTCTCTTATGGCTTTCTTCCCTTCTGTTTTTGTCTTATTTTATTTTTCCTTCCCTTCCCCTATGTTCATCTGTTTTATTTCTTAGATACCACATCTGAGTGAAATCATACGATATATGTCTTTCTCTGACTTATTTCGCTTAGCATAATACACTCTAGTTCCGTCCATGTTGTTGCAAATGGCAAGATTTCATTCTTTTTGATTGCTGACTAATATTCCGTTGTGTGGGTGGGTGTGTGTGTGTGTGTGTGTGTGTGTGTGTATACCTGTATACAGGTGTATACACACACACACACATATCTCACATCTTCTTTATCCATTCCTCAGCTGATGGGCATTTAGGCTCTTTCCATAATTTGGCTATTGTTGATAGCACTGCCACAAACCTTGGGGTGCATGTGCGCCTTTGAATCAGCATTTTTGTATCCTTTGGATAAATACTTAGTAGTGCAATTGTAGTAGGGTGGTTCTATTTTTAATTTTTTGAGGAACCTCCATACTGTTTTCCAAAGTGGCTGCACCAGCTTGCATACCCACCAACAATGCAAAAGTGGTCCCCTGTCTCCACGTCCCCGGCAACATCTGTCGTTGCCTGAGTTGTTAATGTCAGCCATTCTGACAGGTGTGAGGTGGTATCTCATTGTGGTTTTGATTTGTGTTTCCCTGATGATGAGTGACGTTGAGCATTCTTTCACGTGTCAGTTGGCCATCTGGATGTCTTCTTTGGAGAAGTGTCCGTTCATGTCTTTTGCCCATTTCTTCCCTGGATTATTTGTCTTTTGGGTGTTGAGTTTGATAAGTTCTTTGTAGATTTTGGATACTAACCCTTTATCTGATAATGTCATCTAGTCTTATGAAGTAGCACAATTGTTCCCATTTTACACCTGAAGAAACTGAGGCTCAGGGAGGTGTAGCAAAAACTGTTCCTGGCAACTTGCAGCTGCCAGTATCTGCCTCTCTGTGCCTGAGGACGATCTCAGGAGGAATGGAAAGCTTCAGTATCTAAAAGCAAACAAACAAGGTGGCTGCAAGTGTCAGGGAGTTAACACCTGGGAGCTGCTTTCAAACGGTGATTGCAGGAGTTGGCGGTGTATAAATACCCCAGCTTCCTCGCCCATCAGGCAGGAGAATTCTAAAATGGATATTCCATACTGGCTCCCAGAGCCCCCCAGTGGAATTGGGTGGAAATGACCCGCAGTGGTAACTTGCTTGACATGCACTCTTGCCTTCCCTTCTGCATCTTACTTTCCCACCCTCCTATTGGTTCTTCTTTGGGTTGCCTCTCAACTAAACACTTGTACCTGGGCCCTTGTCCCAGGATCTGCTTCTCGGAAAACCCAGCTAAGACGCTAAGTGTCCCACACCCGGCAGGGCTGAGCGCTGTGGTCCCACCCCAGAGCCCACGGTCTTCACTCATGACTACGCCATCCATCTATCTTCCAAAAGCCTTCCCGCAAATAGCTCACAGTAAGAGTAGGGACTCAGAGTTAGACACCACGTTGCCAATAACCGTT